GTTCATAACATATTAAACAATCAACATCACCAAGTATTTTGAATTCTTCATGAATTTATTTCTTACATTCTAATATCAATAACATCATATGATATTTTTTTATATTAAAAAAGAATAGAAATGGCCATTTTTATGCTAGAGACGTTAAAGTTGTCTAAGACGTTAAAGTCGTCTCGAGACGACTTTAACGTCTTAGACAATTTTAACGTCTCTAGCATAAAAACGGCCAATGCTGACTCATTTCCTCGGAAAAGTCCCTGACTTATTACATCATTGATTTCCTTGTTTTCTAAGAATGTCACGCAATGGAAAAATGATGTGAGATCATATCGCTAATCTTCTATAGTATAGGAGCACCTTGCTACGAGATCAGATTTCATAAAATGATTCCATCTAAAAAATTTCATCAAACAATCTCATCAAATGAGATAATTTCCATAATGTAGAAGGTAGTAAAGAGAGTTGGCGTTTTCGTACGCGGTCACTTTTTGATATTACCGTTCCCAAAAATTATTTCGAAATGTCGTAAATCTTTTATCATGGAAATTCCTTATGATGGCATGCATGCATGACTCTTGGGTGCTGATTCACGGTATGTTGTTGTCTGAAAGCATTTTCATGTTGTAATCCTACTTTGGTACACAGTGGCTCTGGTAGATGAAAGGTGAGGAAACTTTCTTAAATATTCGAGCCTTAAATGAAACATTTTATCGCTATTTTACTCGGTTCTGTCATTGTTAAACTTAAGGTGGATTTTAATACACTTATGATTATAGTGTACATTTAAAACTTATTTATTATGCCATCATCAACCAGTGATAATCTAAGATTGAAACAGCCTTGTGCGACCATTATAGAGCGTTTAGGTATGGAAAAAGTAACATTTGGTGTCATCAATTCGTGCGGACGAATAACAGATGCTTGCTTTGAAAATGCCTACATATGCAGAAAAAAATATCCTTGCGGATAGTGCTATCTCTGTCTCGATTTGTTGTCGACAGATAAGCAAACAGGAAACGGGTTGGCTCTCAGTTTGTCACCACTTTCAAATTCATTGATTTGTTCATGAAGAACTTTCAAAGTTCATTCACGAAAAATGTGGACAAGGCAGTTTAGAGGCATTCAAGTTTTGATCTTCGAGACAACTAGATTAAAAAGTTTCGCATCCAACCTTCCGCGAAGTTGATTTTTTTAAATTTATTGTATTATAAACGTTTAACCTTGGCTCCAGCAAGGGAACTCAATTATTCGAAACATGTACAGTGAAAAACAATTACTTTCTTATAAAGGCTCCTATCAGTTGAATCATTTTGATGTTTATTGGATGTCTTTGAATCATCTCGCAACAAGAAAGGTTTGAAAATTTTTAAGTCAGTCAGCCATGAATGGCTTTGCGGTTATTTAGCTGACTTTCTCTATTTCATAAAATCAGGAATCTTTTTACTTATATTCTGATACTAAGCTTCGAAATGGCTCTGTTTTGCTCTGACATTGGCGAGGAAATTTTCTTAACGGCTGACTTGTCATCTACATTAGCGACAGCACCATGCTAATGCAGGAAGTTTACATTTCTCAATCTTTGTATATTGTAAAAGAGAGTTTCTTTTCAAGAAAAAGTTTTCTTCTCTAAGTCTTGATTTCTAGACTTCGTAATCTTCGTCGGTTATTTGAAGTGTTTTGCTGTTGGGAACATAACAAACAATGCATTTTGTCGGCAATCAGCCGAATTATATTTTATAAGAATTGTCACATAGTTTTGTCACGCCAACTCATCCTAAAAGTGAAGGATGGAACAAAATATATTATCAGAAAGATAGAAAAATGTAAGAGGGAAAAAAACCCACTAAAATATAGACATGGATTGCAGATGAACTACGTCAAGGATTCATCTTTTTAAGTTTATAATATGCAAACTCCTGTTAAGCTATTTTGTTGTGGTTCTTCCCACAAATATCTGGTTTAAAACAAGGATCCTTTCGTGAGAAACAGCTACTTTCCCTGTGAAATCAATTTCTGTTTTGAGTCATGCGTTTGGTAATAGGACTTTAATTGTTCATACCGCAGAGTTAACTCGGTTAGATGCAAATTATTGTTTTATTTATTCTCGCTGCTATGCACCGACCGTTCAGCCATCATGCGATAGCAATCTCGAACTCCTAATACAACTATTTTAAATACAGTTACATCGAAGAGTCAAAAAAAGCTTTTAGGAAGAACCCAAACAAAAAGAAAGAATTTAAAGAAAGCGACAAAACTTTTGAATATAACAATATTAATTATAGTAAATAGTGACAACAAGAAAAGGGGTAAAGCATGAAAGTGTTAATTCTCGCATTTTCATGCTTTACCTCTTTTCTTGTTGTCACTATTTATCATAATTAGCATTGTTCTAACTACTATATAATTCAACTTCCGACGCTTTGTACAGTAATTAACTGAAGATGACAGAAGTTTCTGTCGAAACATGTTTTACAGACTCAAAAATTTTGTCGCTTTGTTTAAATTCTTGACTTGCCTGCCAATATTAAGACCCAAAAAGAAAGAAGAAAGGAAGAATTATAAAGGAGGCTTGGGGATGTGACTCGGGTTTTTTTTCATCATTAGATATCATTACTGTTGTCTGTGTTGCTTTTTTCACTCCTCGTCCAAGGTACCTTACACTCTTGCGAAGATTTGCAAGAGATATTATACCTTGGACAAATTGGCTGAAAAACACCAGCCACGAGATTGCTCGAAAATTTTTTCGAGATGTTGTGAGTCTGTTATTATGAAAATTATTTATGATTGCATGCATCAACTAAAGCTGGAGTTTTATACGCATATGATCATACTGTGCATTTAAAACTTTTTTATAATGTGATTATCACTTGCAACCAGTGATATTTTGATACTGAATTAGCCTCATACGAACACTATAGAGCACTTTTTCTGTTCCTTCCTCTCATTTAAGGCCGAACGGATGAACTTATGCTTGTTTTGAAAATGTGCAAATATATACTGAAGAAATTTCCTTGTGACTAACGATCTGTTTTCGACTGATGAGCAAACTGGATAATAGGTCGCTCTATTTTTGATATCACTCTTATTCACTGAGTAGTTCATAAAGAACTTTCGAAGCCCGGCGTTCATTTAAAACAAATAATTTGTAGGGAATTCGAGCTTTGAACATGAATACAACTGGCTTTAAGCTTCCGTATTCAAATTTCCTGCTGAGTCGTTCGTTTTGAGAGGATTAGTTCAGTAAACGTTTTACTTTTTCTCCAGCAAGAGAACTCGTTCATTTGAAACATGCGACGAAACGAAACTGAAAGTAGGATTTTCTATTTCCAAATCTTGATACAATCTCTACATATCGCAACGAAGACTTGCTTTTCAAGGGCAAGTTTTTTCTTAATCCTGGTTTATTGTAAGATTTGTATTTACCTTCACTCTGATACTTTTGAATACTCAACAAATAACGCTTTTTGTCGGCAATCAGCCGAATCATATTTAAAGAAGGAGCATAGCAAAGTTTTAAAAACAAGAAGGACTCACAAAATATCTGATCAGAAAGCTGGTAAAATACAAGAGAGAAAATAGTCAACTAAAGTATTGACGTGGGTTGAACATGAAATGCTTGATGGATTAATCTTGAAGCTTCTCAACATGCAAAAACCGTGATGTTTACTTTTAACTTTGTTGTTGAAAATTGTGACTCACAGGGAAACAATACCTATAGATCTTGATTAATGTTGTATATTTTAACCACGTGCACCTCTGCTGCACACGTAACTTATCAGTCAGGCAATCAATCCTAATAATCCATTTTTAAGATTAAGGAAAGTTAGAATATACAGATTCCTTATAGTGAAACACTCGCACCGGTTTATATTGATTGTGCCGTTACTCTTCTTCAGAAATTATGACATCATCCCTCTCCCACATGCCACATCTTTAAGGAAGAAAATTCAACTAAAGGTATGTAGACATCCACTTTGCACGCGTGACCTATTACGTTCCTTTGTTCAATCTGTATAATTGGATTCATAGTTCCATTTCCATGTAATCAAAGTTCTACTCTGTATGCGGACTTGAAATTGTTTACAAAGGAAAACTATTTTCTAATTGTTCGTGGTGTTGGCTGAACAGTGATGGTATTGCTGCTTTGCCTAAAAGCCAGGTATAACTGCTGTTGGTAATTACTTAACCCTTTCAATATCTCCCTTAAATCACACATGGAGGTCATGAGAATAAAAGAAATGATCACTAACTCAAGAAGCTCTTGATTGTTAGACAAATTCTCCTTGTCAGCGCGCTATGAAATGTGTGATGAACAGTATGGAGAATATGAATACTAATATTAGGGTGTAAAGGGTTAATTAGCAGTGGTTGCACTTCTGGTGCCAAGATACGTGTGGCTTGAAGGTGGAGGTAGTAGATGGTAAAAGTTCCTGATGAGCTATGTAATAGGTTTTAATGCCTCGAGCAATGAGTCACTAAACAGAGATACACCACAGAGAGGTAAACGTTTGAGTCGTGAATTAATTAAAAAAAAAAACTTTTCCCCCACGCAGTACCTCGCTGCCATCTCATGATCATTCATGGAAACGATATTAAATGTTTATGAGGAACCTGTGATGAACTACTTCTAATTGTATTCTGATTGGTGAGAGGAGCAATGATCCAGGCTGAATTATCCGCTAGGAATTGAGATGAGCATAATTTCTTAAAGAAGGGTGGGTCAACTCACCTCTACTGAATCTTTTGAAGTTCCAATAAGGCTGCTATTGGAGAAATAGTTGTGCGTGTGGCGAAGTGTGGTGATGTATTCTAACTGACTGTGTCGGGATGTTGGATCGTGTCAGGAACCTGATGTGTCTGATTGACCTCGTAATGATTCCCAAATTATCAAAGCAGGTGACTGTGATGTTCGGTAGGTGATACTGGCGATGTGGTTTTGGTAGTGCTGGTAATCATAGATTTGATGTGCTTTCGACTCAATGGTAAAAATGGTGACACGAATGATTTGCTTGATAGGCTGTTCCTTAGGCATCATGGCTGCAGCTTTGTCGCCATTCGCGTCTACGAAAGAAACTACCAACTATGCAAGGCTATGCCGCCTCTTGGTAGATGTTGGATCTCAGGTGCTTCAGTCCACTTTTGACAAAATACATCCACCAGCGACTCTACATACAGTTTTGGGAAGTACCTCAGTGCATTTCGCCACATTGCAATCACTGTACGAAGGGAAGAAGAAGGTGCTGAATCCCACGCAATGGGGGAAGTTGTATCCTGCTCATTCACCCGTGGCTTCTGCAGCCTTCGACATAACGCTGCTAACAGTGCTTCTTAGAAATATATGTGGTTTGAGCCCTCCTGCCACTGGTTGGGATCGTCTTCCCCCAGCTGCAAACATAAGCATCACAGATGACATAGCCAGAGTGAAGTATTACAGGAACACTGTATACGGCCATGCTTCTCAAGCCTCTGTGGATGAAAGTATTTTCAGCGTTTACTGGCAGGAAATACGAGAAGCTTTGGTGAGACTGGGAGGATCTCATTTAAGAGCTGAAATCGACAATCTTGAGCACGATTGCATGGATCCAGATATCGAAGAGCATTATCGTGAACTGATGAAACAATGGAAGAAAGACGACGACAGCATCAAAGACAAGTTGGAAGAAATTGAAGGTTAGAAAACATTGTCCACTGCCAATACGGATGAATCAGAAGGCTAGAAAAGTGTATATTTTCAGTAAACACGGCAGTGAAGGTTAGCTCATGACTTTTTCATTTTGGACGGAGCTAGTCACATATTTGGAAAATTTTTTCTAGTGTTATAAGTGAAAAATGAAGAATTAACCCAAATGTTGACACTGTGTTTTCATTTGCAGTACTTTTGTCTGTTCGTGGGTACTACTGCTGGAGTGCATTTTTGTGATTTCTAAGCGTCTTATTAAGTTTGATCTATTCGGAGTCGACCAGATTTTGATATACGTATCATTTTTTATCGGCACCAAAACGTGAATCTGTGATGTAAATGTGCTTATGAGATTGCACTTATCTTTCTTACATTTCCAGATTTGCTAGGTGACCTCGGAAACAAAACTGAGAAGATAGAAATTGAAATGAAGGAAGTTAAAGAGACGATTAGTAGCCTGACGCTTACAATGGAAAAAAGCACAGATGAAGGTTGGTTGCCAAAAAGAGCTACTCACCGATAAACTGAACTAACAACAGTGATTCCGTTAACTTGAGTACATAACACATCTAAGCATGAACACTTTATTCCCTCAATGTTGGCCGAATTAGCATTTTTGTGGTAATGTATTATTGTAAGAGTCCTCCATTGCTACCAACCTACTCTGGCTACAAATGAAGATACTATGTAATCCATAGGATGAATGGGATGACACAGAATCTGACCTCTTGGGTTGAATAGTTTTCTGACAGCATGCATACACATTTGGCCGAGAAGGGTTATTGACTTATTTTAGTTTTACTTTTGTTCAAGAAAGAATGAATCTAATTTCCTAGACCGTTATAAAGGAACTGCATATTGTTGAACAAACTATAGACGACAACTCATAATTTCTTGTAAAGTATTCCATTCTACATATGGAAGAATCGCTGATTGAGGGTCGTCTTAGTTAAAAGGGACAGGATAAGGTGTATGTGGTTATTTTACATTTCCCGAGTTAAAGACTGTGGGCGAAACCTCACACCTCAACGGAGGCGGACCTCCGGTTTTCTCTAGCGTTTTTCTTTTTCTCATAATTAAATACGTGAAAAAGAGGACGGAAAAGCGTTCTTTGGCATTCGTTAATTAGTTCTTGCAATGTCGCTTTTTACCGACAAATCTCTTAATCAGACTATCGGCTCCAATGATATCAATATTTATCTTTCGCGTAATAAACTTTACGACAGAGTTTCAACAGACACAGCTGAAGCCGAGCCATATCTTCTTTAGAATGTTGAATAATTTTAACCCCTAACACCCTAACATTAATATACATTATCTCTATACTGTCCTCTTTACATTTCCTATGATGCTGACAAGAAGAATCGAGAGTTTTTTGTTGGTGATCACTTCCTTGATTCTCATAACCTTAATGTGTGATTCAGGGGTGACATTGTTAGGAGAAATTAGGCTTACAACAAACAATAGAGGCAAGGGAAAGGATCTATTAAGTTAACTTTTCTTTCATTTAGTAAAGTGACTTTTTGTCTCACTCTGACTAAAAGTTCTAATATTATTCCATCGTCAGATACTACGAAAGAGTCTCTCGAGAAAATAATAGGCGAAATGGCAAAGATGGACAGTGAACTTAAAGAAGTGAAGAAAAAGATGTGTACTTCGACAGCCCCAGTGGGAGAAAGCAGGAATGAAGGTTATTTGAACTTTAAGATAAAAGTTATCCTGCTTAACCGGATATTTAGCCGTAGTCAACATGTCTTGTATGTGAGAGAGAGAGAGAGGTCATCGTATCTTAAGAGATTCAGTTTTTCAATTTAAACAGTTTCTGGAATAATCTCTACAATCTCCTTTTATTGCCTTCAATGCTTCAAGTGTGGAGCGTGGGTCACAACTAGGAAAATGTCGAGTTTGTCGCTCAAAACCGTGGGTCCATGACAGTGTGACATCATTAATGATGGAACCAAATTTGCAGAAAGGAAGGCTAGTTTATTGGGTTCCGTGTGCTAAATCTCGGAGGAACTGCAATAATTCTTTCAGAGTGTATGCGTGTTGTTTCGTTAATATGAATACTGTGACGTATTTTAACTTGTCTGGGTGTCCTTTTAAGCGACGCGATATGTCTGTTATGACTAGAGTGCCAAATTTTATTCTTTAATTTGCATCCTCTCCACACTGTGCATAGTTCATAATCTGATATTTCAACGTAAATCATCGAGAAGGTGCCTTTCAATCAGCTTTTTTTACTTTGTAAGTCGCGCAAGCATCATGACCGATTACGTTTAAGCAACGTTTTAGGACAACTCGGAATCTATTCTCCATTCAGTTGCTATGAAAACCTAAAATCTTCGACGTGGAAGATAAACGAACGAAGTTTGAAAGGTGGAAAGGAGATCTAAGTCAATTTTCAGAATTATACAAATAATCTTTGACACTAGCGCAATTGAGCAAGCACATGGATTTGCGTTGTTTTTAAGATGTTGGTTGATGGAAGCCAGGGATATACCTGCGGGTTTAAGGCAATCCATGACCTAATTTGTGTCTAAACTATGCACTGATATGCTTTCTCAGGCCGATTAACGCCTGCATTTTGAGAATTCTTTCGTACAAATTAGTAAATTTTTTTATATGCAAATTAAGGTCGAAGAGAAGGGTCTCCTCTGATTACGCTGGTATGAAAAGTATTTCAACTGAAGTTTCCATATTTTGTCTGTGAACTAACTGAATACATCTTGTAACTTGTAGCGAGATAGAATTCTGTGAGCTATATTATCGCAGTCGCTGCCCGCTGGACAAAATCTGTGAAATTTACATTTTCGATCGTTGTCCACAGGGATGGTCTGGACAAAAATCATTTCTGGCTTGTGGCGACGCAAAAAAAGAGATTTGAAGAACAACTAGACTATTTTTGAAACATGTGTCCTAAACCCTTTTCATGGGCGAAAAATGAAAGAAAAATGTTTTTCCGACGGGAAGTCGAAAGAACCGCTCTTAACGAGAGCGGCACTTAACTTCAGCTCGATGTTAGAAACTATAGAGTAGGTTCGACTAAATTCATAATCTAAATGGCTTTTGATCAGCAAACATGAATCATACACTGAAACATTTTGCATCGTCCAAGAAATTTCTTTGGCAATGGTGTCGTAATCATTCACCTATTTAAATTCAGTGCTGAATGCCAGAGGCAATTTTCACCAACGCATTCATATGATTTCTGAATCATTTTTCTATTATTAGGTATTTTTGATCCAAGTGAGCTTATCAATGAAATTCGCCAGTTGTACAAGACTCGTGAGGGATGGCTCTCACCATTTCCATGGTGTGAAGAGTTTCAGTTTTTTCTTGGCAATATTTTTACAAGGCTCAAAGTGGTCAGAAGAAAGAAAACGAGAGGAGAAATCACTGACGTATTTGTTGACATGTCGTCAATACTCGATCCGTATGAAGAGTGCTCAGCGCCGAGAACAGTGTTGATTGAAGGAGAACCTGGTATGGGAAAAACCACCTACTGTAAAAAGTACGCCTACGACTGGGCCACCAAAAAGCAAGAACTTCAGGGTAGCGGCTCAACAGTATTCAAAGCGGTATTGTTGCTGAAATGTCGAGACATTCATTCTGATATTTGGGAAGCCATTGATGATCAGCTTCTGCCTCGAGACATCGATGAAGAAGTTAAAGATCAATTATTTCAGTTTATTCGTGAAAATCAGTCCAGCATTTTATTGATATTGGATGGATTGGATGAGTTACCTTCCGGCAAATTGCCGATGTTTTCCGAATTAATTGAAGGAAGAGTACTCCCCAGATGCCACATAGTTGCAACAGCAAGACACGAAGCTGGAAAAGAGGTGAGAAAGTGCTGTGACACGCTACTTCAGATCGAAGGATATACTGAAAACCATGTGAAAGAGTTTGTCACCAAGTACTTTAAAGAAAGGCCGGATTTAGCCACCAAGCTCTCGGAACGGATATCGCGAGATAAAAACCTGAGAGAAATGGCAGCCAATCCTCTGAACACAGCACTTCTTTGTCTTTTATGCGAAGAGTTTGAGGGCACACTCCCCGAAAACAGAGCTCAGCTGTACTTGGATATGGTTGAATGTGTCTTGAGAAGATATAGGAAAAAGAAAGGAATATTAGAAACGGGAGTAGACCTGACAAACCTTTACAAACCGCTACTGAATCACCTTGGGTGGGTAGCGTTGAATGGTTTAATTAACGGCAAGTTGGATTTTGATGAAACTGAATTGGGAAAGCATGCAAAAGACTTGACTGAGCTTGGATTTCTGTCAGTGCAGCCTGGTGGTAGCAAATTGAGACAAAAACTGCATTATGCTTTCTTACATAAAAGTTTTCAAGAATGCTTTGCAGCATTCTTCATTTGTTCTCAGATTCAAAGCAGGGAAATTATACCTGAAGAACTAGTCTCCGATCCAAGGTATTTCTTTGACCTTAAAAAAGTACTTTTGTTTTCATGCGGAATTTTAGGCATGAAATGCGATGAACAAGCTGTGGCACTTGTACAGAGTTTAACAAATGAAGTCAACGAAATTAAAGTCCGTGGTACAAAAGTTGTATTGGAGGCCATAAACGAATGTAAAAGAGAAAAAAGCGATTTTCACTCACATTTAGCAAAGTATTTTGGAACTGGTTTGAATCTCACCTTTTTGTGCTTGGCTTACCATAGTATTGATGATACTGGTGCTACATGTCTTGCTGAGGCAATCAAAGTCAACAAGACGCTAACCAATTTGGATTTGTGTGGGAATGCTATTTGTGTTGCTGGTGCTACATCTATTGCTGAGGCACTCAAAGTCAACGAGACTCTAACCAATTTGGATTTGTCTTACAATGGTATTAGTAATACTGGTGCTACATCTATTGCTGAGGCAATCAAAGCCAACAAGACTCTTACCAATTTGAATTTATCTCGCAATGGTATTTGTAATACTGGTGCTACATCTATTGCTGAGGCAATTAAAGTCAACAAGACGCTAACCAATTTGAATTTGTCTCGCAATTGTATCAGTGAAGCCGTTACTACATCTATTGCTGAGGGAATCAAAGTCAACAAGACGCAAACAAATTTGGATTTGTCTCTATATGGTATTAGTGAAGCCGGTGCTACATCTATTGATGAGGCAATTAAAGTCAACAAGACGCTAACGAATTTGGATTTGTCTGAGAATGGTATTTGTGTTGCCGGTGCTACATCTATCGCTGAGGCAATCAAAGTCAACAAGACGCTAACCAATTTGGATTTGTCTGGGAATGGTATTCGTGTTGCCGGTGCTACATCTATTGCTGAAGCAATCAAAGTTAACAAGACACTAACCAATTTGAATTTGTCTCGCAATGTTATTAGTGATGCCGGTGCTACATTTATTGCTGAGGCAATCAAAGTCAACAAGACTCTTGCCAATTTGAATTTGTCTCGCAATGGTATCAGTGATACAGGTGCTTCGTTTATTGCCGGGGCAATCAAAGTTAACAAGACGCTAACCAATCTGGATTTGTCTTACGATGCTATTAGTGATGCCGGTGCTACATCTATTGCTGAAGCAATCAAAGTCAACAAGACGCTAACCAATTTGAATTTGTCTCTCAATTATAATACATAAGTTTAGCCAAAACTAAAAGCGGAGTTCTTGTTAGTTTAATTTCCAGCCCTTCATTATACTGAATAAAAACTGTAATAAAATTCTTTAGCACTGGCTGTAGAAGTGTTTCTTCAAGGGGATAAGCGACCAGGCGAGGTCTGGAACCTCACAACTCTCAAAGCGATCAACACGCATGCTAGTCAGCGGTATCTTCAAAAAGCTTAGGACCTTCGTCGTTGTTCCTGATGTTTTAAGCAAATTTTCGAAGATAGGGAATGTTTCCTTCTTCAGATGAAGTGTATGATGTCAGCATCAGTTGAAATTATATTTTATTAGGCGTGACTTATAATTTCAGTTTGGGAAAATGAGCCAAAATTGAAAGAAACGACGGTAAACTATTTTGCACTAGACGTTACTAGTCGATTGAAATGTATACACGTGAGCGTAGTAAGTCAGTAAAACAATTGGCCAGAATCGTATGGGCTTCTCTTATATCTTCTCTTGGAGTTGCAGGTGTGATTGCTTACCCCACTGTTTTTCCCTAACGTTTCAACCCCCTCTGTTTAACGAAGAAAATTAAAAAGAAAGTTATTTTCAACTCGTGTTTGAACCAGTAATTTTTTTAAATGATTGTCCTCTGGCATTCGCCTTTAAAGTAATAGAGCGGATTCTCTCTGAGAAGTGGGAAAAAATAATTGTAGTTTGCTCACTTCATTCAATTAATCTCAAAGAGGTTTATACAAGGTAACCAAAGCATTAGTAAGAATATTAATATTGATAAGTCTTAAGTTTGTTGAGTATGATTTAGTCATTCGTATATATTTAGCTTGTACTTTTGTAGTTACTATTTAAATTCAAAGCCCAATGTTATTTAGGAGTAAGTTGCCACGATGAGTTGCCAAGTGATTAACATTTGTGACTACCTTTTCTAACTTCCGGTAGTGGACGTGCTTAGTTTGTCTTCTGAACTTGTTACGAACCCATTCGAAAGTTTTTATTTTGATTTATGCAGTCGAAGATTGATTCGGTTGTTCGGAAACATTAACTACGTCGTCCTTCATTCGTGAGATTCTCGTAAAAGTGTTTGGGTTAGTGTTCTGACATCAAAAGTTGGATCTTCCATGGTCAGTTGACCAGCAAGCCCACTCCTGCCTCGCGATAGTGAATACATATTCATGTAGTTTAGATTTTACTTAGTATTTAGTGAGAATTAAGAAGAAGAGTGAGTAATAGAACAGAGTTAGTCAGACAACCAGAGTTACTCAGATTGAAGTAAGATTGATATGTATTAAGAAGAGCATATTTATGAACCAAGAAATGAAAGAAGACTGAGAAAACACATGTCAAGAATCCTTGGTCCCTTTCGTAAAAGGGTGTTGCAGTTTGCGGCTAGTTTCCCCGTCATTGTGACCCAAAAATATCTAAGCCAGTTTTCAAAAAGGGACGTTTGAAATTTTATTCCCGAACCTCCTGCTTATTTTCCTACGTTCTTCCTGGTCCATTTCCCATCGTGTCTGCATGATGACAATTGTGGAAAGAGAAGACTCCGTTCTTGAAAAAATTATATTTGTAAGTTAACACTAAGCCCCATCAGCGCTCCGTGCAGATGTTTCGTTGTTGGTATACACCTGAAAGATGAAAACCGTATCAGAAGAAAGTATCAGAGGACGTTTGGGCTATTTGAACTTTAAAATTCCATACATTCGCAGACACAACCTCTAGAGAAAATTCAACAACCTTTCAAACTCCATACAGGCGAAAATACCCTTTATTGCTCTCTTCAATGTAGGCGCTAAAAACTATTAGATCTAATTTTTGATCTTACGAAAACTGATTCATGTATCATAATTAGTTTATATCTTTGATTACCTTCAATTGAAAAGGTATGAAAAAAACTGCGGTGATAAACATAATACATTAATCTTAATAGACGTTTTGTTGTGTAGTATCGCTGAAAATATTTACGAATTGTGCCGTTTTGTTTTTTGACAAGTGTTTCTGCTCATTTCCCATAAGGCGGGAAAAGCAAAGCGGATGAAGAAGCGCAGAGCACGCTAAAGGTTAAAGTCTTTTTATTGTACAAAATAACCAACTGCACAATATTGCAAGATATTTGTACCCTATTCACGCGTTATTTGTACTCTAATTGAAGAGTTAGGTAATAACCCATAAATCATAATCATTACCATTCAAATTTGATTGGTGCATTAGCTGCTTTATTTTTCACCAATCAATCTGTACAGCTGTTATCAGACAACATTAGTCGGACAGTTGAAGCAGCGAATCATACTTAATCCTCTCAGCCAAATCCACCAATCACAGAATCATCACAATAACCATAGCAACAACCACTTATCCTAAGAAAATATGAGAAATTTTAAAGTGGAGAATTTTTTAAATTTTAGAAATTGTCTCTACCGAAGATATTTGGCCCAAATGTATTTGTTGTTTTCGGAAATTGTAACGGTTTGGATTAATTGGCAACAGGACTTCCTGTCGTCCAATTCTGTCTGTAATCATACTCGTGATTGACAAATTAGACTCCCGCTTGGTGGTCATCCAATTTTGTTAATCACTCGTATGATTACAGACCGAATTGGATTTTACTCGGTCCAATTACTATCATTTATCGCATGAGTTGGCAAGCGAGTTTTGCCTCAATATCTCGACATAGAAACTCGGAAGCTGCATTTTGTTTGAGTTACCTTCTCTTCCCTGTCCAGCTGTAACTTCGACATCTAAAGGGGAATTTTTCCTTTTTTAGAACCACATTAAAACGTCAAATCTGACTTGATAATGGAAATCATAACTCTTGGCTTCCCTTTATGAGAAATTAAACGCAGAAGATGTTGTCGTTTGTGCACATGCGACTGAGTCAATCGCCACGCAACGAACAGGACTTACAGAGTTGTTAAAATGAGCGTTAAATTTTTTTTTATGAGTTAACAAGAAGAATATTTGAAAAAAAAGCTTGGGTTTATTTTTATTTTACGCTTCAATGATGATAGAATGAATACCTTTAAATTTCATGAAGCCGTTTCGGATATTTTCTGCAGTTCATGACAACTTTTTTTAGATACAGTTTACACCGTGAAATAGTACTGGGAGAAACAGTAGTTCCTTATCACAATAAATACTTCAAATCTTCTTTAACACAGCTGGCACTGTATTAGTTACAGTGAGCAAATTAACGATGGTATACATTTTTTTGCAAGATTTCCAAAATCTTTTCATCTCTTTGAAGCAAAGTTTGCACGCCGGATTTATGTCAAAGGTAAATGTTCTAAAGAAAATTTGAAAGGAGTGAGATCAAATGTGCTTGCTGAAGCAGAAGAGTTCCCTTTTCCATTTATTTGTTTAATTAGTTTTTTCTTTTCAATTTCCGACCAATATTCTCTCACCAAGCATTTTGTGTGCGCCTGAGTGGGAGGTTGCTGAAAGCATTTTGCTTCCAGCGTTAGACTTTAACTTGATGTTGCTGTCAGTTACAAAATATGGCGCCTCTCAGGTTTATCTTAATTTCTCCTCCGTCCGAAGTAGGTATCTATGTCGAGGAAATGGGTAAAAAAAGTATTCTTAGAATCTCGTGCTGTTCTGATCAGTTTACTGTTAATGGGTAAAGCATCATTCGTTTCTAAAAGAATTTAGAGGTTGCACCACTCCTGATTCCCCCTCGTTTTCTGCACAAAGAGTTGCGAGGTATAGGAGTAGAGGCACAACTGAAGTGGCTGATGACTTCCAAGATCGATTCGTTGTGATTTTTAACAGACAGTCAATTAACAATGCCAATCCTTCGCTCGCAAAGATCAGAGTGCAGAACGTATGAATTGAGTGTGTTTAAGACGTGGTCGAGATTTCAGTGAATGCAAGTACAAAGTTTTCCTTATTTCCTCTTAGACTTCTACAATAATAGTAGTAATAATAACAATGATAATAATGATGATGATGAAATATGAGAGTGATCTTCTCAGTAATGAACACTGCTCAAGCAGCAGTAAAAATAAGATCTAAGAAACATTCAGGTTTTTTTAGAAACCACATATAACCCTCCCCCCCTTTTTTCAGGCTAGCCACCACATTTTAACTATTGAAGTTCTATAATGCTTTTATTTTTTTATTCCAATTTTTGCAAAAATAAAAACAAAAAAAAAAGTGAACAACACACTTGTCTCTCAAAATCAAAATAAAGAGTAGATTTAATTTGCAATTTTTCTGGAATGTTTGGATCCCCCCTCCCCCCTTGTCTCTCCGTAACCCGCATACCCCTGCATACCCCTGCATCCCTCCACTTAACATTCCCTCTCGTAACCAGAGTTCATCTGAGGCGTCCCTCTGACTTTAGATTTACCTTTGCCAACACTGTAGCTGTAATATATAACACAGCTAGTTGTTGGTTCCACTTCGTTTTAGTGCAGTTGCTTCCCGGCTGATTTTACATCGGGCATAAAACTCAAAGTCTTAGAGATGTTTTTAGATGACATGGTTCGAAGATATTCGAGGAAGCTGTTATCAAGATTGAGGAAAATTACTCTCTAAAAAATGTATTCAAATTGACTTTCCCGCTCTTCTTGGTATATACTGACTGAGTTTGCGCGTCTGGATTGCGTTATTATTTCACTTGTAATCTGCTTGACTTCCGTTTCCGGCCCCAGGAGTATGGGTACTCTCGTGCATACCCACAGGGAATAGATCAGCTGTACCCGACCTTGATTACATTTAGTAGTCCTTGGAAAAGAATCCATGATTGATAAACAAGAAAGAGGAGTTGAAAACTGTTTGTTACAAGTTATTTTTTTATTTGCGTGACTTTTATTTAGCATCATACGCGTGCGTGATCGATATCGGTGACAATGTCCTCATTCGACACATTCGCAAGTTGACGCATTGTTTAATCTGAATGAAACGTTTCTCCAGAAGAAAAATTTCAATAATTCATGCAAATGTCCAAAGTTTTTAGCGCAAATAGAGTTTTCACCCATAAATTGCACCATACGCCATGTTTTTAGGCAATTTGCCGACCA